GAAACCATTTGTCATAAATTCAAGGGCATATTTGGAGTTGAACTGGCATAAACGGGGTGTTTTTTGAGTTTAATGGAAATATATGTTGTAGCTGAACTGGGACTGAGAAAATCAGAGCAAATCAAGTTCATATTGTCTTTATTCCTCTGTCTTCTGTCTACTGTCTTCCTGCTTGCTCTTTCTTATCTCCCCTAAGGCTAAGGTTTGATTCATAAGTGCCACAAACATCATCTCTATACTTCTTTGCTATATTCTAGACAGAGTATTGGCTCATATCACCTACAGATATTGGCAGGCCATGATGGGTTTATGGCTTTTCTATACAAGGTCTGGATAGAAGCCAGGCCTTCAGTTATCTTAGCCATCTGGAACTGAAATGAAAAGTGTAGAAATTATAAAAAATGTTCTCTGAGTGACATATTTTTCATAAAATTTAGGGGCTAACGTCAGTGGACTTTATTCCATAATACAGATGATCCACCCTTAGGCAATTCTACTGAATATAAAATTGGGCAGATTAAAGGGACATAATGTTATAAAAAGTCATGACAGCAGAAAAAGAGAAAACACATGTAACAGCAGGGCTGCCTATGGCCATTTAATGTAGGCTCAAAGGTAGGCAATTTGCCTATCAATGTTTGGAAGCCCCTGATTTGTATTCACTGCTCCCTGATTCCTAAATCATTCCTCTTTACACTGAACCCTGCAGAGGAGGGTCCAAGTTGTGTCATGCCAAGCATGACTATCATGTGGGAACAGGTTAACTTGATTTTTCTAGCAGTTCAGGGTTTTTGAGCATGGAACTTGGTATAAACCATTTTTTTAAAAGGATTTATTTATTTATGCATGCAAGAGCTGAGGTACAGGCCAGAGATATGCGGGGGGGGGGGGGTGAGAGGACTCACCAGAGACAGAGCTGGGAACAGAACAAGCAGACTGACTGAAACACACTGCTGAGGGGAGCAGCGGTGGAGACAGGAAAGGTCTGCTGTGCCATGTGGGTAGCTCCCTGGCCCACTGGGGATCGAATTCATGCTGCAGAGGCTGCAGATTGCTTCATAGTGCTGTGCTTAACCCCTTGAGCCACCAAGGAGGCCCGGTATAAACCATTTTAAAAAGCATTTATCTGGGCCTCCCCGGTGGCGCAGCGGTTGAGCGCTGGGTTGCGAAGCTGCCCGCAGCCTCTACAGCGCCGGTTCGCTCCCCGGCTGCTCCCCGGCCACTGGAGGAGGGTCCCACATGGCGCGCAGACCTCTCCTGCCGCCTGCTGCTCCCCTCAGCAGTGTACTTCAGTCCTTCTGCTTGTTCTGCTCCCCGCTCTGGCTCTGGTGAATTCTCTCACCCTCCCGCGCTTCTGACTGTACCCAGTGCTTGTATGTATGTATGTATCAATCAATCAATCAATAAATCTTTAAAAAAAATAAATAAAAAGCATTTATCTGAACATCAAATGCATAATTCATTAGAGGAGGGAAAATATGAGGTTGGGGCAGATCATTTAGGGCATTATCAGAGGAAAGCAGTAGTGGAGTAATCAGTGATTTGTTAAGTAAAGGAAATAAATAAGATAAAGATAAGGAATGGTTTTGAGACCTGGTGGTCTTTAAGAAGATCAAAGGCTGTTAGAGTCGGCAGGAAGCACTTTGAGTTCAACCCCTTCATTCTGGAGAAGTGAAGAAACTGAAACCCTGAGGTGGGAAATGCCTTTCCCAAGGTCATAGAGAGAAACCCTTTTATGAATCGTAATCCCTATTTTTGTCCAGCTCTGTGCTTCAGTTCTTTGTGCTATAATCCTCAATTACTAAATTAAATGACGTGGCAGGCAATTTTCTCTAGTATCCTCCAGTTTATACCTGAAGTTCATTTGCAACCTTCACAGACATGTAGACATCAGAGTCCAGGTTTAATTGTGTTTTCACGCGTCTTTATTGTTCACTGCCTCCCTTTCTAAAGGGTCATCTTGAATTTGCTACAGATTTCTTCTTGATACCTGTCTTTTATTGTGATATTTTCACCCCTTGTGTGTTGCTATGCTGTAGACTATTATAACTATGTATTTGGACTTATCTCCATAGAATTTTTCAGGAGTGGCTCTCCCACACAGTCATTGTGGGATAGCGGTTCACTTCCCATGGCCGCTGCTCCTTGGGATGAATCTTCCTTTAAAAGGATGTCACCACTAACCTGCTTATCAAGATTGCATGAGTAAAATTTTCCTCTTTCACACTTGGAATCTTTTTTACATTTTTGGACTTACATAACAAATTGTCAGGCACCTCAAACATCTTCCTGGCTGCCCCCCTCCCTTATTTTATAGATGAAAAACTATGGTTCCTTCAAGTGGCAACTTTTCCAATGTCATGATGAATTAGTAATAGTTAAAAAGGGTAGATGGGCCTTGAAAGTTTCATTGTTTATGAAATGGGGATGGTTCACAGTGTTTTCATGAGGATTAGTGAGATAAAATATGTGAAAACAACTAAAATAGAAGTTTTGTCCAGATTTTTAAGTCAAAACAAACTACTAGTGCTCTGTGAAATGGAATTAAAATGTGGAGCTTTAGAGTGGGGTATTCATTGTTATAAGACTTTCTTTTCATTAGGTTATAATATGCCTTACTGGCAGAGACTTTAGGGGATGGTTCAATGCTTAATTTTATGTTTTGCATAGAAGAAAGTGGAAGTTGCACAGCTAGTTATTAGCAAAGCCCAAACTCAAAATTCATGATTTCTCTAAGTCTCTTTCCTCCTCGTGCATAGTAAGAGCTTCTAAGTTTGCATTTTAGTGGGCAAGCATAAGAGCAGTTACGGTAGTGAGGTATATATACCTCCATGGAGAAATATGTGCTGAAATGAGAATGGGGTGAAGGATACTCCTTTTTTTTCAGCATGTCAGTTCTTTATTGGGTTCTGTGGTTTGCCCAAGCAGGATGTAGAATGACTTCTTTTTGAGTCTGATAAGCTTACTTCTTCCTGATTCATTTTGGGAGGGTGTTTTAATGCTCACAGAAATTATATAGTCCAAGATCCTTTCGACTGTCACTGGTTTATATGTTATGAATTGTGGAGGTTGGGGAGGTGCCAGGATAGAGGAAAATGGGGATTCTTCTAAGGGGTGCATATGCAGCAGGAAGACCCTGAGAAAGAGTTTTGCTGGTGTCAACAGCTGCATCTTACATCTAACCCTCGCCTCCCAGCTTTGCAGGGAAGATAACAGTCTGACATGTTGTTCCTCACCTTGTCCTGTATCAAATAGCATCCTGTTTCCCTTTCATGTGATGACATGCAGTATGGCTTTATGTGTGAGATGTGTATTACTTAGAAACTTGAAATATCCAAGCCAAATAATATTTTTCTTTCCTTTTTTTACTCAACAGAAAATGTCCTAAAAACAACAGAGGCCGACGACAGAAGCAAAACCTAGGTCATTTTACTTCAGATACGTCATCCAGAATGGTTTAGACGGATGACTTTTATATGTACACTGACCATGTGAGATACATTTATTATGTCTTTTTTTAAAGAATGGAAACGTTTATTTCAGAGGCCTTATTTTTGGACATTTTTAGTGTAGTACTGTTGGCTTGTATTTAGAATATTCAGCTACAACAGTTTTGGACTCTTTAGTAGTCTTTGTTTTATGTTTTTAAATACAGAAATTGATTTCACAAATTTGTACCACATGGTAACTATAAGACTTGTTCTTTACCCATGGAATGTAATATTTTTGCAAAGATGGACCACTTCACAAATGGTTATAAAGTCATACCCACTTCTTCCACAATGAACACAGCAAATGACTAAGCATGAACTAAAGGTAAAGATGTTTACAGATTACTTTTCTTACGAAAAAAATAAAAATCTAGAAGACACTGTGTTTAAATAGACACTTAAATGTTTTTGAATTTAGTAACTGATTTTTTAGACACTGCCTATCGCATGAATTGTAAAGCTGTGTGTGTTAGATATAAACTATTTATAAAATGTATGGACTGAAATTTGATTATTCCTCTCTGAAAAAAAGAATTCTGATAATTCAAAAAGTTTCTGGTAGCAGTGATGGATCAGATCACTGAAAGGTAGATTTAGATATTGTGGAAATAGTCTGTTTAACAAGCAGATTGGAATAAAGCCTATTCTCTAAGTTAACTACTTTAATACACATTCATTTTTAAAGAAAATATTTGTTTTAACATAAATAACAAATTGTATTAGTGTTTGTGAATAAAATGCAAAAATGATTGTTAATGATTGGTGCTCTTAAAGTGAACTAAAAATTGAGACCTCTATCCAAATTTGTCCTGTAGTAATAGCTATATTAATAGATTGTTGGTGTTTAAAGATCAGAAGTATGAATAGAATGTATTCAGCTGTTTAACATGTAGTTTAGATATTTAGAAGTATGCATGTAGAATTTAAGAATATCTTCAAAATTAAATATTAATTTTAATATTTGGTTTGAAAAAGCATGTTATAATATAATGTTTTCCCTATATGGCCTTGGCTTTGGTGTGTTTATTTACTTCGTTCTTTGATACTGACCTCTCGGTACATTTAATATGTTAAATTAATAGAAAAAGCAGATTCAGAACTCCTCTATGCTTCTGCCAATGCTGCTTGTAATTAATTACCTAAAGGCTTGCCTTTCATCCAACATTTGGAGTTTGGTCTTTTGTTCATTTGGCTTCTAGGGCTTAATATTAGTAACATGGTGGCTTTAGTGAAGTTTTTTCTTTTTAAAAAGCTTTCCTCTCCTCCCACACAATCTTATTTGAGTTCCTTAGTCAGTCAGCAAGCATGTTTGGAACAGTACCCAGTGCTTTGCAAGGGTTCATATTGCAGAACAGTCATGTATGGGTATTTATAGTTATAAATATTTGACTAGTCTCCAGGGGTGAGGTTTTCAACCCTTTAAACAACACCATTGCCCATTACCAAGCTAACCTTTTGCTCTGAGTGCCAGATTTGACTGTGGCAGAACATCTTTCATTGAGAAACAAAATGGAACATAATGGGTCTGCCTCAAATGCTGATAAAATCCACCAGAATCGCCTGTCGAATATTTCAGAAGATGAAGACCAAGATGCTGCTCTCACCATTGTGACTGTGCTGGACAAAGTGGCCGCCATCGTGGATAGCGTTCAGGCAAGCCAGAAGAGAATAGAGGAGAGACACAGACACATGGAAAATGCCATAAAATCCGTCCAGATTGACCTCTTGAAGTTTTCACAGTCACATAGTAATACTGGCTATGTCATTAACAAGTTGTTTGAGAAAACCCGAAAGGTCAGCGCTCATATTAGAGAGATGAAGGCCCGTGTGGAGAAGCAACAAGTCCAGGTTAAAAAAGTTGAAACCAAGCAAGAGGAAATACTGAAGAAAAACAAATTCCGTGTGGTCATATTCCAGGTAAGTTTATACTTGGGTTTAGTTTGATTGCTGCAATCCCTTGCATCCTTTAATTGCCAACAGGTCCTCTTCATTTCTATGTTTACGGATGTCATTATTCAGAGCTTCTCAACCATTTCATGTCACGTAAACTATGGATCATAGCTGAGGCTCTTTCTTGCCTTTAAAATTTGTTATTGATAAGGCTCTTTTGCCATAGTGCTCATGTTAGCATGATGCTGTTTTATAGACTGAAAATTTTAGAACTAGAAGAGACCTAAGAGTAATCTTCTCATTTTAAATACTTCTTTGTTAAAGAAATTGAGACCCATTAACTCCAAAATGTGGTTCCCCCCTTCTTATAGAGAGCCTGGAAAAGCCCTAAATAATAAAATGTAAGCTTCTGAAAATATAGTTAGACATTGGATATTAGTAATATGTAAGTCACAGTAATAAGAAAACTTTTTTAATGTTTAGGCAATTGCTCTTATTTTTCATATTGTTATAAATATACAGACGTGAGGCCTTTTATTTGATTACAGAGTTTTTTTACTCAGTGATTTAATATAACAATTTATGTTAGGGAATTGTGTTTGAACTTAAGTTCCTATATTGCTCTGCACCTAACACTCAAATTTTTTGAAATAGGAACATATCCATGGCAAATATATGATATCTGTAATCTGCTTTAAAACTCTTGCAATTAAACAAAAAAAAGTTGAAATCTCCTTCCATGGTAATAAACAGGAAAGTCACACTATCAAACAACTCCACAAAAGACAAAATAAATGAGTAGAATTCTACTATTAAATATTTGTAGCTAGTTACTAAAATATACTTAGAGATTAAAGGTAGGAAAAACAAACACTTTCATCTTTTGCTAGTAGGAGTATTAATTTGCACAAAAGTTTTGGAGGGCGGTTTTGGTAGTATATGTTAAGAATTCTAAAACTTCACACACCTTTCATTCCCCAAATTTGTCAATTGGTTCTAAGCATGAAATCAGGAATGTGTGCAGGGATTTCATTGTTATCACACTGTACTTTATAAATGGATGGTTGCCCATATGCACAGGGGGGAAAAAAATCTAGATCCATAGGTAAAAAAACCTAGAATGAAAGCGAAAGGAAATGAAACAGGGAACACAGGGATGTGGGTTCTCGCTCCCCACAACATTCTTTGCACATTAGTCAGTTCTCTGTAGCCTGGTATTGACTGATAAAGTTGCACTGGGATGGCAAAGTGGTATTTTGGATGTTTTTAATAGCCTGTTAGTCACTTAGGAAGAAGAATAGAGAAGGGAGTGAGAAGAGTTTTCTGTTTCCAAGGTAGACAGTTTGGACTATACCACCTGAAATCCTGTATGATTTCCCTGGAACACCCTTCTCCAGATTTGAAAGTTTGGGGGAAAAATTAGCATCTTATTCTCAGAGGCCAGTCTCAGAGCTAGTGTATGTAATGGGGATCTAGATTTGGTATTGGAAAATATAGTATCCCTCCTTCCATTCACTTTCCAAGGCCATTAGCAATAGTGAGTATATCTCACCCTCTACTTGCATGGGGCATTCTTGATATCCAGCATTTCTCTTGAGAACCTTTGTGCAGAGTGGATAGATATCATTCAAGATTTGGCTAGAGCCGAGAAGTTTCTGAAATGTTCTAATTAACTCTTGTCTATTGACATAGTATTTTTTTTTTAAGTTAGGATGTTTCTATATTCATATGTGTAATCCCCTGACACTTTTCTAGCTTTTCCCTTTTTTTGAGGTAACTAATAGAAGAGAATATGGGGCCTCCATGGTGGTATAAAGGGTTAAGTCTCAGCACTATCAAGCTATCGCCAGCCACTACAACATGAGTTCAATCCCCAGACAGGGAGCTAATCCACATGGTGAAACAGACCTCTCCTGTTTCTCCCACTGCTCCCCTCAGCAGTGTATTTCAGTAGATCCACCTGTTCTGCTCCCCACCCGGTCTCTGGTGAATCCTGTCACCCCTGCACCTCTGGCCTACACCCCAGTTCTAGTATGATAAATAAATAAAAATAGGGCCTCCCTGGTGGCGCAGGAGATTGAGTGCCGCACTGTGAAGCTGTCCACAGCCTCTGCAGCGAGGGTTCGATCCCAGCTGGCTGGCGAGAATGCCGCATAGTGCGGCAGATCCCTCCTGTCTCGCCTGCTGCTCCCCTCAGCAATGTATTTCGTCAGTCTGCCTGCTCTGTTCCCCACTCTGTCTCTGTGAATCCTCTTACCCTCCTGCGCATCTGGCCTGTACCCCAGTTCTTGTATAAATGAATAAATCTTTAAAAAAAAAAAGACAGCTATTCATTTAAAAAATAAATAAATAAAAATAAATCTTAAAAAAATAGAAGAGGGTGTGGAAAAGCAACTAAGAGAATCTAGTTTAGATCAGATATATTTCCTTATGGGATATAATGCTTTGAAGATAAATTATATCCTATAGTAGGATATAATTTCACAGATATAATTTCTGTGAAATTGTTTTTCAGAGTAAGCAGTGGTTTGTCAATAAACAGTTGCTATCTTTTAGAATGGGAGAGATTGTTGAAAAAAGATAAAGGCAAATACCAATGGATCAAATCCATTGGTGATGATTGATTAGCTGTTAGAATAATATTCACATGGTTGTTCTAAGCAGTTAAAATTCACTCTTATAATTCATTCTTGTAATTAGTGTCTAAATGGTTATGTTGAGATTGTCGCTTCTCCTAAAACTAATTTCAAGCAAGGAAATTCAGCCACAGTGTAATTTACTTCCATTTGTGTTTTTTTTTCTCAAAACATTTTCCAGGTTTTATCTTTTGATAGCAGTCATTATTGGTATTTTATCACCTGCAATTGTGTATGACTGAGCTTTCACCTAATCCTGGACATTGGACATTAAAAACAAATTATCTGCTATTTCTCATACAATTGTGGTTTCTCTTTGAACATATTTTCAACTTAATAACCCTCTCATCAAGAGTTTTACCATATTTTGTAACAATTTTGTTCTCTAATCACTTGCGTGTGGCTACCAAATGAGATACTTGGCTACTCCCTAATAGTGAGTCTCAGACTTCTATCTATTCAAGATTTCCCTGGTTACTTTGTCAGTCAAGGCCACTTTAAACCATACTATTACTCATTTTGTAACAGAAGATCATCTTTTTACCTGAACTTTACATGAAAAGATACATAATAGTTATATTTGGTATTCAGTTCAGCCCTGTAATACCTGCAATTATTATTATGGTGTGTTTACCATTAACTCATGGTATCGCTGACCCAGAGGAGTTGTGACAAATAGATCCACATAACAAGTTCATACCCCTGACTGTGTCTCTCTTTTGTTCTTAAGCCTGATTTTGTATGATTTGTTGTGCAATTGAAGAAGATTATGTGATCCTGAATTAAACTCTGTCTGTTTCTTCATAGCAGGATTGTGACGGTTTTCCTACTACCAAGCAGTGATTATTCTTTGGCTCCTTCCTTTTCTAATTGTACCTTCTCAGGCCATACCAACCCACTTGGTGTTGCTGAAGCAACTCCCTGGAGCAGGTGTCAGGAAAGGAACAATTATGCTCCTTCTAACTGATTCATCAGAGAGTTATGAGACACCCATCCTGCCTTTTTTTAGCTCCCACACTCTCCAATCATGTAGCCAACAAATTTAACTTTAAAGTATCCACAAAAATAAAATTTCAGGGATCCCTTCTTGACACTCAGGCTGATAGATTTTAGAATATATGTCAGTGTATTTCTTATATATTTATTACATTTTTTGGACTGACATGTGTAATCTGGATCTCAAGTAGGTGGAGCAGTTTCTTTCAGACATTTTAACTCCTGGGTTCAGTTGAAAATCTCATGAGCTTTAATGTTTTGCTTATGTAGTTTTGGAAATAACCTGTAGAGAGTTGGGTTGCTTTGGTGGCTGTATTTCTAGGCTGGTTCTTAAGGGCACCAGTATCTGCCATGTTCCCAAATGCATTTTCACTCTTATCCTTTTGATATATTTGGCATAGTTGGTCCCTTCCTCTCTTTTTGGAGCTTCTTTCCCCTTTGCCTCTGGGAATACCGTTCTTTCATGGATTTCCTTTTGCTTCATTGGCTGATATTTCTCCATCTTGGTTCTTCCTTATCTCTTTCTTCTTCTTATTTATCCAGGTCCAAAATTCACTTATCTATTAACATCAAGATCCAGACATTTCAGAAAATATGGCTTTTTCATAATTCATGTGACAGCAAGACCTAGACTTCACCTAAACTCAGGTGGCCAAACCTGACTTGAACTAGCACAAGGGTGTTTTGTACAAGTCTTCATCTCACCTTAGAAAGAATATTTATATTTTTTTGCCGCAAGAATATTTCTTCCCAGAATCTCACTGGAAATGTTTTATAATATATTACACATTCCCAAATCCAAAATATACAGAATTTTGAAGCTCTCTTGATCCCAAGGAGTTTTGAATAATGAAGTATAGACCATTTTCTCAGCATCTTGGTGATCTTTTTCATCTGGCCTCATGATTTTTCATTTCTGACTCCTAAATTTCTCTAGTCCAGTCTAGATCTTTCTCCTAAATTCCAGTCTTACACATGCAGCTACATACTCAGCATTTCTGCTTGGATGTCCAGATGCCTTCCTTTCCCCTCAGCGTTTTCCCTCTCACTTCCCTATCTGAGTTAATGGCAAATCTGTGCTTCAGTTGTTTATGCCTGTATTTTGGAGTCATCCTTGACACTCTCTAATAGATCACACCCAAATTGGACAACAAATCCTGTTGCCTCCTACCTAAGTGTATAGGGAATCAGACCACTTCTTCCCACCACCTCTGCCAACACCCTGGACCATCTCTGCCTTACGTCAGTGGTCTCACACCGCTCTTTCTGCTTCCTATCTTGCCCTCTCGCCTATTTTCAACAGTGTGATCCTTTTACAACATAGGTCAAATCATGTGACTATTCTCAAAACTTTTTTTTATTACTTTTTAATATTTTTTACATCCTTGTTCATTTTTAAACAATATTTGCTTCCCCCCACCCCTCAGGGGTAGTCCCCATAGAGTTTCCCTCACCAATGCACCTGTGCACCATCACCTCAGTCCCCTGTGCTCCTCCCTACCTCCCTCTGATCCCTCTCCCGCCTCCTCCCCTACAGGATGTCTCTGGTTTATAATTGTCTGTTTTTGCTTTGTTGTGTTTTCTCCTCAAAACTTTTCAAAGGCTTCCTGTAATACTCAGAATAGAGCCACTACCTTATGTGATGCGCCCTCCCCTCCTGCTCACTTACCTTCTCCTCTTGCTCCCTGATCACTCTGTCCTGCTACACTGCCCTCCTTGCTGTTTCTCCTCCTCTTCAGCTATATACATTGCTCTCAGGTTTACGCTAGGATGTCACCTTATTAGTGAGGCCTTTCTAAGTGTCCTCACCAGTCACTGTATATTTGCCTTTCCTGCTTTATTTTTCACCTTAGCTCTTACTGCCATCCAATATGCTATATATTTAAATCCTCATTTCTAAGAATAGAATCTCTTTATATTCTTCACAGGAGGTTCTCAATTCCTAGAACATTGACTGGTGTATGGTAGGTGCTTAGTAACTATTTGATGAAGGAAGGCATAAGCTCTTATTTCATCTAACAGTCATTTATTGAGTTATACCTACTATGTATAAGACATTCTAATAGATGGAGCCTAAAATAAATAAAACACATGTCTGCTTTCATGTACTCTATCATCTGGTGAAAGTCTCGGGGAGATATATGTCTGTATGATAAGACAGATAAGATATAAATATATGAGTAGAGTTGCAATCCAATTCAAACTGTGATAAATGTTCTAAATATAGATATGTACATGTCATTTTGGTGTAAATTAGAGACAGAATTTAGTCTCTTGGGGAAGTTGAAACATTTGAATTGATTCTTTAAAAAAAATTTTGTTCACAGAATTCAAGAGGTGAAGGGATATTTTCAGTGGCAAGAATCACATTTACAAAAGCAAGGAGGGATGAGATTTTTAAGTATGAGGAATTGGGGGTAGTTTTGTGTTGCTGGGCTGGAGAAATAGGAAAGTAAGTTTAGTTTAAACTGAAGAGCTTTCTAATCATACTAAAAAATTTGAACTCTAAGCTTTGAGTATATGAACTCAAAAGTTTTAAAGCAAGAAGGCTGTGATTAGAGCTATGCTTTAGAAATATTTCTTAGGGGATACCTAAGTGATTGCAGGTAGAGGTTTTGTACAAATTCAGGCCTGAGATGACTGGATTGGGAGGAAAGAATAAAAGGAGTCGTTAAATGGCATTTTTTTTTTTAGATTTTATTCATTTATACAAGAACTGGGGTACATGTCAGAAGTGCAGGAGAGTGAGAGAATGCACCAGAGACAGAGCAGGGAGCAGAACAGGCAGATGGACCAAAGACACTGCTGAGGGGAGCAGCAGGCAAGGCAGGAGAGGTCTGCCGCACCATGTGGGTTTCTCCCTGGCCTGCTGGGAATTGAACCCATGCTGCAGAGGCTGCGGACAGCTTCACAGTGCTCCGCTCAACCCGCTGCGCCACCAGTGAGGCCCTAAACGGCAGTATTAACAGTGATTGGTGATAAAAAGGATGGATGAAAAATAGAGGAAATATTTGAGATTCTATCTGGGTGGCACCTGGATAATAGGATAAGATGTAGCTGATGGTGATGGATGGGCCTTGAGTATGTCTGTGTTAAGTTTGAGATACCTGTGCTACATCTAGGTGGCCTGTTCATCATTTAGAAATGTTGCTTCTTAGGAGAAAGGGACAAGGCAAAGGTAAAATAGGTGTGTTTGCTTGCAATTAAACCTGAACGCATAGGAATAGATAAGGTTGCTCAGGATGAGCTTGGGAGATGAAGAAGAAAAAAGGGCCAGGGAGAGAGAAACCCTGAGAAACACCAGCATTTAAGGAGCAGGCAGAGGATAAACATTCCACGGGTGAGACTTAAAAGGCATGACCAGAAGGTAAAACAGCTGATTTCTAACATGCTTTTTCTTTTTCTTTCCTTCAGGAGAAGATTCAGTGTCCAACATCCCTATCTATTGTTAAAGATAAAAATCTAAGTGAGGATCAAGAAGAGGATGAAGATATCTTTGATCCTCCAATCGAACTGTCTTCGGATGAAGAATATTATGTTGAAGAAAGCAGATCTGACAAACTTAGAAAGTCAGGCAAGGAGCATATTGATAATATCAAAAAGGCATTTTCCAAGGAAAACATGCAGAAGACACGGCAGAATTTAGACAAGAAAGTGAACAGAATCAGAACTAGAATAGTGACCCCGGAGAGGAGGGAAAGACTAAGGCAGTCAGGGGAAAGGCTGAAACAGTCAGGGGAGAGGTTGAAACAGTCAGGGGAGAGGCTGAAACAGTCAGGGGAAAGATTTAAGAAATCTATTTCTAATGCAGCTCCCTCAAGGGAAGCTTTTAAGATTCGTAGCCTTCGGAAAGGTAAAGACCGAACTGTGACCGAAGGTCCAGAAGCAGTCAGGGAGATGGGCGTGGACATCCTTGCCAGGAGTGCGTCTCTGGGTCCCATCAGCGAGTTCTGTACTGATGAGCCCAGTGAAACAGACCACGAGGAGCCCAAAGCGGTGTGTCCTACGCAGGAAGGCGGGGACATCCCCACCCCAGAGCCTCTAAAAGTTACTTTTAAACCTCAGGTGAAAGTAGAGGATGACGAAACTCTTTTGGTAGATTTAAAGCCGTCATCATAAAGAGGAATTGAGTATAAGTATAGAGCTCTTTAATCATGCAGTTATTGTTTATATAGTATAGTCATTTACATTCATGTGCCATATAGGAAAACATAAGTGGGTTTGGCTATTTCACGTCTTATGTTTAAAATCATAAAGCTAATACAAATATTACGTACATTTCCTTGTAACTTGGCTTGGGAATATTTTTCCTCCTCTGGGCTTTAAAAGATTCTAATATCTTGTTCTCTAGTGTCAGTCTTATGGCACCTGTGGGTTTTTAAATCCTTTTCTCTTGTCCACCAGAAAATGTTTCTTAGTGAGGGCCAGTTAGATATTAGTTAGTCTGAAACAAATGACAGGCAGGTGTGTGGCCATCATGTGCAAGTGAATTCCCGGTTTGGTCTAGATTAATGTGGCCAAATGCAAAAGGGAATAGCTTCTGTGAGCTATATTGTTTTTATGTTCAAATCAATAGATTCATTAGCAAATTAGCAGTCATACCTCTTTTGGTGCTTTTGCATAAAAAAAAATCAAGTTCTGGACTTGAGCATTTAGTAGTGAAATGGAAAGGGTTTGCCTGTCCTGCCCAACTCGGATACTTATGAAGACCAAAGGAAACATCATACATTCTGGGGAGCAAGCAGCACATACGGAGACAACAATCCCCACTGATCCCACAAAAGCAGAATCGAAATAACCTGAAAAAACCTTGTGCACCAAATAGGAACTAGGTTGGACAGAAACTATTTTGGTCATCAGAAGCCTTTTCCCAGAACTAGGAATGAAAAATAAATGTTTGGGTGACATCTTTTCATCAAAGACTAAAATCAGACCTTTGGTTTGAGTTGGGTTTTAAAATGTTTCCTGGAAAATCCTTTTCTAATTTTCTTTTGATTTAGATCTATGGTGCATTATAGCATGAGCAGCATGAAGCATGAAAGTGCGCCTTTGTCTTCACGAGACCTTTTTCAAGTCAGAGTTGGTAAATTAGGGTTGGGAATGACCTCAGATATTTCTCTTTTTCAGAGTGAGCCCCTTAGGGCCCATTCGTTCAATACATTACTCATAGGAGTTCATCACATCTGCTTTGGGAAGAGGCCAGGTTGCACTTATCTGTTAAGCAGTTGAGAAGTAGACATTATTGCCAAAGAAAGAGAAATGGTCACATTGATTCTGCACTTCTGGTATGTTTGACTATTTGGGGTTGTATCAGGAAAAATGATGGCATTGTTGAATTTGAAGAGTTTGGACAACAATCAGCTTTCATAACAGTTTTGGATGGTCATGCGGTTAAATTTGTAATGTGTTACATGCACACAGACACAAAGATGCAAATTTGCACAAAGATGCAAATCAGCTTTAAAATATTTGACTTATTTAGGTATTTGAGTTTGGGAGTTTGGGTTCAGCATCATTTTCTCTGAACTTTTTTTTTTGAGCTTTTAGAAGACGAGGGTGTATGCAACATTGAACAATTTCAAAAATGTTACTAGAGATTAGAAAGAGCTTGGATGCCAAATCATCCATTTCTTTAAAGCTATAGTATGTTTGAATTTGAAAAAGACATTATTACAAAGTGAATGCACACAACAGGACATGGATTTTTACATAGTACCTCTTTTAGTAGGTATGTTTCTAGGTTAAGAAGGACGTAAAGAAGTATTATGTTTTTTCTTTTTTTTTTTTTTCACTATGCAGAATAAATACCAATTGGGCTGAAATATTATTGTCGAGGAATTTTTATGAAGTTCATTTGCTTACTGACTGATTTTCTAATGAGACTTGACGTATTATGAAACACTTCCCATACTGATGTATGTGAATTTTGAAGAGGAAAGAATTATAAGCTGGTCCACTCTTCATTATGATATGTACAACCCCAGCAACACTAAATTTCATGTTCTCAGAAGCTGATTATAGAACTTTCTTTAGAACCATGCTATTTCCCTCCATCTTGCTTCTATCTTTGACATTTCACTAACCACATTTGTGGTATCCCTCAGTTTCACATTCATAGTTTTTTCTCCTTTCACTTTATCTTTTTATCGATGTAAAGAAAACTTTTATAGTGGGATACAGAGTCATAGATCCCCATTTAATGCAAAAATATACTGGTGCCCATTATTTTAAAAGTCTCAGGTAACTAGAACAGATTATTCTTCAGTGTTTTTGAAATTATACATGTCAGATTTTAAAGAATTTATTAAATAAAATCAATAGCCAGGGGCCTCCCTGGTGGCACAGGGGTTAAAGTCTCAGTGTTAACAAGCTATTGCCAGCCACTGTTGCGTGAGTTTGATCCCTGGCCAGGGAGCTAACCCACATGGTGCAGCAGACCTCTCCTGTCTCGCCCTCTGCTCCCCTCAGCAGTGTATCTCAGCAGATCCACTTGTAATGCTCCCCACTCTGTCTCTGGTGAATCATCTCACCCCTGTACCTCTGGCCTACACCCCATTTTGTGTATGCATAAATAAAAATAAATATTTAAAAAAATCAATAGCCAAATGTCTCCCCTTTTCTTTGTACAAGGCAGAATGTTATAACCTCCATAATTGGCAAGTGCATGAGCCCACTCACAGGCTTTTGTACAGAATGGAAAGCATAGGTTAGGGAAGCACAGCCCTGTCACCTGTGCATGGTGATCAGGGGCTTTTCTCCGAGAGCTGGTGGTGGCCTGGTTCTGACTTCTAGGCTAGAGAAACAGGCCAAATGTAAAGAAGCTCTAAATGTTCAGTTTGCTGAGTGTATATTTTGTGTATATGTATTCCCTTGAACAAGTTTTCATAAATTAAATACAAGCCAAAATATTTTCATTTTGACTTCATTCTTTTCCTTCCATGTGCATTTAAAGGTTTGGTTTAGAACAATGCCCAAAGGTCATTGTCATTCTATCAGTTAAAAAACATGGTTCCTGTTATGTAAAATGCCCCAAAGTCATTATTAACTGTGCAACTTCATTCCATGAAGTTACTGGGTCATTTGAGTGGCCACCTTTCAATGACCACATTTACTTGGGATGTTTCCAAAAAGAGAAGAAATAAATTAACAAATTATGCATGGGATGTTCTTGGCTTTAGTTCGAAGCTATGGAGAAAATTTCAGAGGGAAGCATTCATGTTTGCCAATTTGAGAATGTTTTCTATAGCTTTTTTTTTATTTTATTTTTATATTCCCCATACAATTACAACCCCCTTATTTTGACCCCAATCCCTCCTTTCCCCGCCCCCTACTCCTCATAGAGTGTCTCTGGTTCATAGTTGTTTGTTTTCTATAGCTTTTAATTAAAATCTACTTTAAAAAATTATAGGTTGTGATTCCCAATTAAATTACTCTGGCATATTTGAGTCAAATCTAGGGGGAATGACCACTCATCCTCAATTCTATTTGAAGTGGGGGTAAGCTAGAACCTGGTCTATAGTGAATGAAAAATGAAAAATTTGTGTGTTCTTGGGACCATCTTTGAGGTATCAGATGTCTGAGGATGTGTATCTGTCCCTACTAGTTCAGAAACTTTCAGTCTATTTCATGAGAGCATGGGAGATGCAGGACAACCTCCATGACATCCAAGGGTCCCTCGGAAGATAGTGTGCAGTGGCAGCATATCTTCAGACTTTTAATTTATTGGGTATCTTTCTAAAATCACATCTGTTTGTCAAGGGACCTCCCAGACTGCTTTGCTACTTGATGTCTTTGCTCAAGCTGTTTGTATCCCTTTGATTCCGAGAGCTTTCAAGTTCAGTGATAATGTCAGTTTTCTCACTTTAGTTTTCCGTCATCACCTCCCACTCCCAAAGAAGGGCATGATTAATTACTCCATATATTCAATATGTATAGCTATATATTTATGTGAGATTCCTTGCGACTAGAACACCATCCTGTCTCTCCCACCACTACCTCCTCCCTCTACCCTGCCCCTTCCCATCCTATTCCCAGCCTTTATCTTGCGCTAGCAGTGTTCTGGGTGACAGTCAAGCAAAAATTCAGCAGCATGACTAGTGCTATATAAGAGCATAGAACTGTAGATATGGGAAGTGCTTAAGATGCTTATGTGGCATCTTGGCCATACATTTATCATACTTATTTACATTGTATTCTAGTTTATTCGTGTAATTATCTTCTAGATTGTGCTTCTCAAGGACAGAAACTGTGTTTTCCTCTTTGGGTCACCAGCACTTGGAGAATCGCCCATGTAGCAGGTATTCATTAGGTACTTGGGATTCAGAAATGAAAGAGAGTCCCTACACTTGAGGAACTTTTCCTCTGGTGGAGGGGATGGACATGTAACTCCCCATCATTGCACAGATTTGGGAAAGGGTGATATGGGAGCATAGAAGAAGAACATCTAACAGTCTGGGGAGGGGCTGATAAGGAAAGCTGGAGAAAATGATGCTCAAGTTGGCATTTGGAGACCAAAAGTCAGCTTAGTAGCAGAAATCAGGGTAAGATGCAGCTAGTAAGATTATATGAAGGTGTTTTGAGTTTTTACCCTAAAGGCCATAGACAATCATTGAGATTTTAAGCTGAGGAATGTGCTGTGATCGATGTTTTCGAAAGAATGCTCTATTAACACACCAGAGGCAGTAAGAACATTGGTAGGTCCCTTGCATTTTTCTAGGTAGAAAGAGCACCTGACTTGAAAGATTGATAGAGCTATGAGCCAGCTAAAGATGGATGTGAGTTATGATGGGGAACGGATGACAGTCAGGTTCCTGACTTGGGCAAGTGGCTATGCTGTTCACTAAGATTGGAATATGATATTCCATCTGTGGAGTCTAAGAGCATTCTCTTTATATTCCTTTCCATTGCTTGAGAAACAGGGAAATTATGCCTATACTGCCCAAGCTCACACACTAGATTGAAGTCTGCCTAGTCTAGCTGTTGTGGCTCTTACAAAAAAAAAAACAAAACCAAAAACCCACAAAAAACAAAACGTGATTTGAAGGGATTCTTGGCTCTAGTGAGCCCTCCTGATGGAGACAGGACTCCCAACTCCTTCAGAAATAGAATTGCCTCGGGCCTCCCCGGTGGCGCAGCGGTTGAGGGCTGGGTTGCGAGGCTGCCCGCGGCCTCTGCAGCACCGGTTCGGTCCCCGGCTGCTCCCCGGCCACCGGAGGAGGGTCCCACATGGCGCGCAGACCTCTCCTGCCGCCCACTGCTCCCCTCAGCAGTGTGCTTCGGTTCTGCTCCCTGCTCTGGCTCTGGTGAATTCTCTCGCCCTCCAGAGCTTCTGACTGTACCCAGTGCTTGTATAAACAAACAAACAAATACATAAATAAAGCATGCCTCTATTAAAAAAAAAATTAAAAAAAAAAGAAGTAGAGTTGCCTTTCAGGTCTAAGGCCATTGTGAGAGCTTCTCTCCCATCTATATCTTTGTTTTAGGACTGAGTTCTTGCCACTGTGCAGTGCAGAGGAAAGCTATTCTTAATTCTTAGAAAGGATTTTTTTCCCCTAATGTCAGTTGTTTGGCACCCGAGGATTCCAGCCAAGACTGTGTTGATATTGCATTTGACACTATATAAAACTGGTGCTAACCTGATACATTGGCGGAGGCCAATTGCCCAGGTTCATGTAGCTACTCATGACCGTGCCATGGTCCGTGCCAGCAAGAGCTTCAATCTCACCGTGGGTACTTTTGGTTTCAGATCTCATCCCTTGCTATCAGTCGTGTTAGATCTGAGTCATAACATCATAAATGTATTAGGGGTTCAAGATGGGGCTTGGTGTACCCCATTTCTCTTCTTCAGAGTTCTGGCTGATGGAAGAGTTCATATAAAGATCACCAGCAAAATGGAGAGCAAGGTGTCATCTTTATTACTGACTGGACAAATTCCATTATTTCCCCAAATGCAGAGTATCTGGTGGAATGGTGAATTTTGTTGGAGAATGTGGCTTAGCCCTAAGACAAGAAATAAGACCTCTTTTCTGCCTGGAGCCCTACATGCTCTGGTGTGGTAGTAGGGAGACCACGGCTTACAGAACAGAAAGCAAGTCCATTTATTGGCCAACAGTGCCCTGCCT